ACCACATATGTTTGCATGCAAAAATCTATCGTTTTTGTGTTGCGGACAATAAACAAGAACTCATTAGTAAACGCTTACGATCTATCGGTCATTTAAAAGGATACTCTATTATGTAACATAAATTACAAAACGTCTGGTAGTCAGTCCTCAATTTGCCTTTTTTCGCACAAATACACAAAAAAACACACCTGCATAATTCATCGTTCACTCGTCCCTCTATCTGTCTTCTCTCCCTCTTTGTTGCACCGCCTTCGCCTTGACTTCTCGCTTCCGATGCCTTTCAGCTTTAACTTCTCGCTTTTGCTGCCGATATTAACTGTGCACTTGTGTCTTCACCGATGTCTTTTGTCCGTTGAGGCAAATGCGCTTATTTCCTGGAATATTCCTCGTCCCTGACATCTATTTTATGATACATTCTAATTTAGAGGACATAAAAGCCACCTCTCAGAGTTTACGGGCTTAAATTCTCTTACAAACGTAAATTTTGCGTTGCGTGGCTTAGAGTAAATTTCCTCATAAATCGTGTTTGCACTTAGATTGCAGCCTGCCTAGACTTTATCAGGTTTTGGGCCTTAAGCTCAGTGCCAACTCTCCATGGTAAAGCTAAAGAAAAGAAAAAACCTACTACATTTGCGTACACAGATGATAAAGATGCCTGTTGAACCAAAACTATTACGAGCTTCTTACACGCGCGATGTTCCAACCGGCTCACGTCTCGCTGATAGTGAAGTCGAATGAGCCTCGTAAAATTTCGATGCACAAGGGAGTAATGCTCTAGTTCCTACACCACCGCATTTGGCTTCGAAATTGAGCCGAATGTCATTGACTGCTTTTATTCGGATATAGCTCTCGTTAATATGTGGATCTGGTTCGACTCCCTCGTGCAGTAGTCAATCGCGCGATTCTAAATCTCGTGGTACGCCTGTCACGTGTACATTTACTATATAATCATTATATGCGGAAGGATTTCCCTTCTCAAGAAGGCACCAAGTAGTTCGCACAAGATAAGGCTCCTGAAATTTGGTCTTATCGCTTCTACAAAATTTTCACCCATCTCCAAATGATAACATGGCTAATCGCTATCAATGCTTGATCAACCACAAGGTGGCATGATATTATTGGATCACGCCCGCATTCCTTTTTCCGCGCGAAGAACCAAATGCGACAAAGAATAACGACGAAACAATTGGGGACTTTGGGGTCTTGTCGACTTTGAAATTTTCGTCATCGCTACGCCAGTCAATTCAGGCGATCCAGCCTGCAACGAACAGACAGCAACCTGATCCTGTAAACGCGATGACAACTTCGGTTGACCCTCCAGTATATGACGAAAGTGATGACGACTCCCGATAATTATCCCCAGGACCTAGCCGGTATATAGAACCTAATGGATAAAACAGTTATTGCACTGGTTTTACCCCCCCGCCCTACCAATAATCGAGCCGACAGAAATAAAGTGAGATAATGTATTGTACAAAAAAGCGACACATGCTGAAGTCAAGATAAAATCATTCTGGGAAAAAAACACAAATTACTAAAAGGCATGCGGAAAAGATTTACTTGCATCACCAACGGTGCCGTATGCTTAGCTCTAAGCTCGACCCCGCGTTTTCACTCTTTTGTTGAATTTAAATAAATTATTGAGAAGGATGGGCTTGCAGCCAATCAACTAACTGGAGACTTTGCGTGCAGAAAAACAAACGCTCACGATCTAGTTTGAGCCAGCTGTAGTATGTTGCTGATATCAGGCAGTAGAACTCGTCAATCGAGAATAGAAAATTCCCTCACAATATCAACCTCAGATATCCCACCCTAAATAGAGCTCGCCAAGCTGTCTATCTTTTATATTCACCCATTAGGGTATCATGTGCATTGTACATCAATCTGTAGTAAGGGCATCATATTGAAATACCACCACAAGCTGAGTGTCGAGAAAGTCAGTGCTAACTTAAAGCAAGTATTGCGATGAGGAATAAAGACACGAACTCTATAATGGAGCGCTCCGTCAAAGCGGTATCTGAACTCAAACACTCATTGACTCTCATTTTTTGGCAACAAAATACATTTTGCCTTTGGACCGTATGCTATATGCTTTACACGACACCACAAATGTGATATATGGCAATTGATTGCTAGGGTGACGCGAAGCGCATCCGTCATCACATAAAGCCGACCAGGCTTAAACCTTACTTCGAACGATAACTCGGAAAAAAAGAAATGTTATCTCACCATTCTTGGTGGCAGATGGGTGACAACGCTGCTGTACACAACGACTCATGATTGGAACGGACATCAAGTTGCTTAGATACAAGCAGGTGTATTTTGATTTGTCAAAAAGCAAATTTCATAGCAAGTAGCTCCTTGTCAAAGAGTGGGTTGTTCTCCGCTTCCATTTCACGGCTGGGGAGACCAAAACGTCACGCTCATATCGGCTTTAAGTAAAGCTCATTCTTTATCCAAATATAAAGATTTAGAGACCAAATATTTCGGATTTAATAAAGCCAGTGTCGACACACACATAAGGCTTTGTTTTGCAGCTTTGAGGCCGCATCTTGGCACCATGTGTTATAATCTTTGAAGAAGGGTTAGTGATTGTGCCATGTCAGTATTATTTGAAATATCCTTGTGCGAGAAGTTGCCCAAGACAAGCCAATTCCTAACGTAAGAACACTAAATGGGATTTGTGTTCGCAAATTTTGTCATCCACAATTGTTACTTCGATGCTTCTCTCATGGTTCTTGTTTTCAAACAAGCCCTTCATGTGCGGATGTGGCTCCACTGTCGATAAGTTACTCTACTAATGGACCTTCGTTTGCTACAAGTACCGCACCACCACTGCTGTTGAAGTGGCGCCGCGTAATGAGAGCTGGACGAGCCAACTGACTCGACGAATGATG